AAAAAAAAAAAAAAAAAAAAAAAAAAAAAAAAAAAAAAAAAAAAAAAAAAAAGCTCACCAGGATGATTTAGGTAGTGCCTAGCCGGGCTCTGGGTGGCCGAAGAACTGCGACTGTGCTCGGAAGAGTAATCGGCCGCGTAATCGGAATCTTGATTCGAGCCCGAGCCAGCCTTGTAGTCCGCGGGGTCCCTGGTTTTCTTGCGCGAGTCCTTGGCGCGACTCTTGACCCAGTGCGACTTCAAAGTGGCGAAGAACGTGTGGGTGCGCTGGGCCACGGATATGTGCCGGTGCTGTTGCCGCAGGCGCTGCAGGACCCCGTGCTCGGCGCTACCACCGGCCGAGCTCGAGGTCGTCGTGCGGACGCGCCGATGCTCCGGTGATCGTCCCGCCGAGGAGCTCTCGCCGCCGCTCTTGCGCGACCGCTCACGTAACTCGGTCGCGCTGCGGGACAGCTGCCGGCTGCCGTTCAGGTTTAGCCGCGCGCCACTAGGGTCGTTGGCGTTGGGTTCGTCTGCGAGGATTGTTTTTTTTTTTTTTTTTTTTTTTACTGGTATTGATTTGCATTTCAGGTGAGAGAAGTTTTGATTGGATTTTGTGGTGGGCTCTCGTTGGTATGGGAGTAGTTGGATCGATGAGGTTGCAGGGCTTTGGTAGTTTTATCGATTGGACGAGCTTTTTTCAAAGCTGGAAAAATTGGTGAATAAGTAAAATATTTATTGACATTTTTTTGATGTACTACCGCCTAGTTGGCTCTCCGTGTCAGAATCAATGTCGGTTTGACTATTGAAAGCTTTGGATACATCTTAAGTATTTTATTATTTATGCAGTAAATTTTTTGCTCATGTATTTATTTAAATTAATTCAATTTCAGTAATTACTGATTAACTCATTCATGCACACAAATGTTTCTTCATGAGTTCAAGCAGCTTTTTATCTTATTTTCACATGTGCTTATATTTAATATATTATACAAAGCTAAGTCAGTGCAGTAGAGTTTGCATAATATCATCAAATATATCTCGTCGATTAGTTTGGATAACAGAAAGATGGGTTTCTTATTAATTAAATATCACTAGATTAAATTGTCTGTTTTTGCAATATCATTTCATTGATAGAGAATTTGAAATTCATGCAATTTACAAATAAATTTTTTTAAATATATGTATCGATAATCAT